CTTGAATCAAAATGTGAAATATGATATATCAAGAACTATGTAATGTTTTGAACAACCAACAATAAAAAAAAGAAAAAAAAATAAAAAGCTTTCTCATGAAAGCTTTTAATAAAAAAACCCAAATTACATAAAATTTAATAAAATATGTCTCAAAAATACTCTAAAATTAAATTGCAATTAAATATAAGTCCTTGGTACTTTTTTAACAACAGAAAATTTATATTTTATTTGTTTGACATTTTTCTACCAGGACTTTTTACCTGTTTGTTTGAGATGGGGGTCTTGCCAGGTTGCCCTTGAACTCTTGGGCTCAAGCAATCCCCCTACTTCAGCCTTCCTTCTAACAGGGACTGCAGGTTGACACCACCGCACCTGGAGGATTAGGACTTCTGATAAATGTGGATTCATAGGCAAAACTTTTGTGAAACAGTTTATTTACAACACTCTGAAGGACATCAACTTTAGCACCATTTGTTTATTAATTATTTTATTGAGATATAATTCACATGTAAAACAATTTATCTCTTGGAATTATACAACCCAATGGTTTTATTTTAAGGTTCCTCACAGTTCTACAATCCACAGCACAATACTTTTAGAACATTGTCATCAAACCAAAAAGAAATTCTGCAACTATTAGTCATCATTTCCCTTTCTATATCCACCAACAATTCTGACCTTAGGCAACAACTAATCTGATTTCTGTCTTTATAGATTTGCCTATGAAGGACATTCCATATGAATGTTCATACAATTGGTGGTCTTTTGTGACTGGCTCTTTTACTTAGCATAATGTATTGAAGGATCATCATTTTGTAGCAGACATCAGGACTTCATTCTTTTTTATAGCTGCGTAACAGTCTACTGTGTGGATATACCACATCTTGTTTATCCAGTCATCAGTTAATGCACATGTAGGTTGTACCCAATTTTTGGCTATTAAAAGTAATTCTGCTATCAATATTTTTTACAGGTTTTTGTGTTTATTAGTGCCTTAACTTTTAACCACACAAGGCAAAAAGTCAAGAGAAAATACTTAGTTTCAACAAAACAATGCAAATTTGTCTTTTGAGATAATGTTAGATGTTTTATGATTGAACCACTTCCAGATGTAAATTTGCAAACTTTTGTCTTGACAGGAAAAGTGGCATTGTGATACTGTTGAAGAATTAAGAAATCCTTAAAGGCTGGATGTTCATTAAGATCCCTTCTTAAACTAAGTTAACAACTTAGTCTTTCTGTTACTCCTCCTTGAATAGAAAAGACCAAAAAGACCAGGTTGCAGATGCTCTGTGTCTTGCGGAATAAACAACAAACATCGCTGAGACCCTTGCAAGCAGCAACAACAGCTGTGCACAGGAAACTGAGCCTTGGACAGAAGTCATCCCAGAAACATGACTTGCCAAGCTGCTCTGGGATGTCCCATTTAGGTCCCAAGTACTTGGTGCCCTCACCAATTTCCATTGGTGCCAGGCCTCTTTCTGGCTAGTAATCTGCTTGTCCTTGTTCCATGCCCCCCTCATAGAAACCCTCACTGCTGACTCTACCCTGCCAACCATCTCTCGCTCACCTCTGAGGTTACGGACCAAATTTCAACACAGGCTCCCATGCTGCTGTAACACCCTCTGGACTCTAGGTCTACTACCTACTCAGGAGGTGCTCAGTGACTGTGTGTGCAAGGATGACCCATCGGATTTGCCATCAATACTAAGTATATGAGGCTAAAGGGTCAAAATGAATTTGACTAGCTGTATTTGTTATTTATTAATTGCTGACAAATTTCTCCAACAATCAAAGCACTTGGGAACCTCAACATATTCCTAAGGCTCCCTCATCAGCTTTTGTGGTATTATATTAACAAACTTCATTCATTGGATTTATTTGAAAGGAATACATTCAGAGGCATACAAAGCATATTCCTAAAGATTTCCTCCAGTAGAATGAACAAGCAAAAGACCCAAAGACAAGGTTTAACTAACCGATTATTTCCTTTGCTTTGCATTTCAGAATAATCTTACTCAGGATTTAAAAAATCCAATTTCACTGAAATTTAGTAGCATTTACCGATGCCAGCATGGGAGGTACAGCCTGAATCACAATTTACTGCTGGGAGGCCCTGCCAAACTTTGCCATTCTTTCAGAGGAGGGTTTCCCTGGGAGGCCAGCTTTTTTAGGTAGTCGCTGGGCTCCAGGTGGGGAATATCAGGATTCTGCCTGTAGTATTTCTGCAACTTCTCCAGAACTGTGGGCAACCCAATTGTGGAAGCATAGAACATGGGCCCACTCCTGTGCCTTGGCCAGCCATACCCATTCAAGTAGATAGCATCAATGTGCTCTGGGCCAGCAGCCATCCCTTCTCCCAAGATACGGAACCCTTCACTGATGAGTGCATACAAGCAGCACTCAAGGATCTCATCCTGGCTAATAACACGGGGTTCAGTATGATGGGTTTCTCTATACTGTGACAGAAATTTGGAAAGCCAGGGATCAGGCTTATGAACCTTCCCCAATGGCTTGTCATATTGATACCACCCCCGCCCTGTCTTCTGCCCATAGCGTCCTGATTCACAGAGCACATCAGGAATCGGGCAGTATCATCTAGTACCCCGCTTTTGGACAGGAGTACCAGGAGGCAATGCGGGTCCAGTAAGACCTTGTTCCTGGTGAACTTTCCAACCCACATCCAACCCAGCAAGGTCAGACCCTCGAAAGGTTCCCATTTTAAAACCTATCTCCTCCAGCACCTGATCTACCTCCTCTGGCTTGCTACCTTCTTCTAACAAGAAATATGTCTGGTCAAAATAAGGGACCAGCATTCAATTACCAACAAAGCCATGGCAGTTGCCTACGACTATGCCAATCTTCTTAATCTTTTTAGCTAAGTTCATAACAGTGGCAATGGTGGTGGGGGAAGAGTGTCGGCTAGGAATAACCTCTAACAACTTCTTTACATGAGCTGGTGTGAAGAAGTGCATGCCAATGACCAAATGCAGCCGATCCGTGGAAGAAGCCATCTCATCCATGTCCAGGGCTGAAGTATTGGTGCACAAAAATGCTTCTGGCTTGCACACAGCTGACAGTTCAGCAAAGACTCATTTCTTCAGCTTCATATCCTCAAATACTGCTTCAACAACTAAGTCTACACTAGCAAGCTTCTTCATAGATGAACTGAACTTGAGTTTTGGTCCTGACCAAGGCTGGCCATTCTGCTGCATTTCGGATGCTTCCTTTTCCAAGATGGAAGTTACCTTCTCTGAGATTTGAGCTACTTTTGGTATGATTCTATAGCAATCACAGGGATCTTGGCCCTTGCAAAAGAAATGGCAATGCCTCGGCCCATGGTTCCCAAGCCTGCAGAGAGAGTGAAGGAGAAAATGAATGATTCAGGGGAATTAGAAACTAACTCATTGGACCACAGTTCCTATGGCAATGTGGCATTTAAAAAGACTCATTCAAGGACACAAATGGATGTCAGAGCATTCTAGTGAGCACAAGGGAGCAGTGGATGACTATACCATAAAGTGATGGTGGTTTTGAGCTAGGAGGTATGACTGCATCCAGGGACCAGAAAGACAAGAGAATTGATTCCAAATACTTAACTACAAAAATTTAAAGGCCATGCTTGAAATTTGCTACAAATTACAATCACTTCAGAAACCCAGGAGTGAGAGATTCGTACAGGGAAGGGTTAGAGGAGGAATGAAAAGTGCCCACAGTATGGAGGTAGACAGCCAAGGTCACATCTGTAGGACAGCATTTGCCGCAGTCCAGCTGGGCAAAATAACCGGGAGGTGACAAGCAACTTGAAGGTTGAAGTGAGAACTGCTTTATTGCGGAGCAGCAGGGGTATATATACCTAACTGATTACACACAGTTTGACTCAATTAGCATCACCTAGATACAGCAGTCAGCCAATAAGGAATCCCYACCATCTAAATGGCTCGGCGGAGTTGCCTCACAAACCACTCCTCCTGGCAAACTGCCAGGGGCCATCTTGACTTGATTTGCGGTCCCCAACAAGCATTGAAAAAGTTAGCATCTCTAGGTGTCACACATAAAATGAAAGGAGTTCATGAATTGAGTGAGAATTACTGGAGCTAACAGAAGTAGTGATTTCAGCATAGAACCTGGGACCTGGTGTCCTGAAGTAAATGTTAGCTCTTGACATGCACGCATTTGGAGAAGCCCATGAAGGGCCCCACATGCTTACCAAGACACCAACTGAGGAGAGGGGTCATGCTGATGCTGGTTTCCACGAGGCCCCAGAGGGAGTGGACCACTTATTCATATTCTTTTCAGCAAAGAAAGCATATTGCAGGGCTCTAGCCTGCCCTGATCCCCGAAGGTACTGAAACAGTTCCTCTTCCTCCTTGATGCCCACTTCATAGGATACTTCACAAAGGCCTGGACAGCACGGACAAGAGTCTCCTGAGCCAGGCACCCAGGGTGTTGTTTCCATATCTCCATTAATGCATCCCTGAAAATGGTGTCCATGTTGGGTAAGTTCAGAACTGGCTTGTTCAAGAATATGCAGGATTATAGAGGTTGATCCAGAGAAATAAATGAGATTGGAACTTTGGAAATGTTATTATATGAAGGGATTAGGATTATATAAAAACAACAATGATAACCAGTTTCGATTTAAAGTGCCAAAGTAAATACTATCTTCAAGATATTTAGAATATTAACACAAAAATCTCTTTCATGGGCGAGGGTTGTGGCTCAGTGGTAGAGTGCTTGCTTAGCATGCATGAGGCACTGGGTTTGATCCCTGACACCACATAAAAATAAAAACAAATAAAATAAAGGCATTGTGTCCATCTACAACTAAAAACCAAAATCTATTTCATGTTGTAACTTCGTCGTATAAAATAGAATTTAAGAGATTTGTAGCAATTATAAATTATTTAAGTATGTTTATGCATAAAAATTACATTTTAATTTTATCTTATGGCCAGGACAATTTTTTCATAGATTCTATATTAATCTGTCAATGAATCTAAGCAAAACAGTTTTGAGTTAATATCTGATGTTTAAAATAATCTTAACTCCATTACTAAGTATAACTAAATTTTAGAACACCTATAAAAGAGGGGCTGTGGTTGAGGCTCAGGGGTAGAGCCCTTGCCCAGACCTTGTGAGGCACTTGGTTGGATCCTCCGCACCACATACAAAATAAATGAAATAAAGTTATTTTAAAAAACACCTATAAAATAATACAGTGTGATATTAATGGAAGGGTAGGCATACATATCAATGGAAGAGAATTGACAGCTCATCAATAAATCCAATTATGGCCAATTGATTTTCAATACAGAAAGAAAGTTCAATGGAGGAAAGGAGAGTCTTTTGAACAAATGATTGGTATAACTGATTATCCATATGTAAATAAGATTACTTAATTAAACTCATATCATACCTAGCACCATTCATATAACTAAAAGTAGGTCATAAATCCATTGAATGACTAAAGCTATAACAATTTCTGCAAGAAACAAAATAGTATCTTTGTGATGTTGGGTTAAGTACTAAATTCTTAAATATAACTCCAAAAGCACAATTTATTTTATAAAATAAATATAATCAATAAATTGAACAAAATAAAATTAAAGACTTTCCTACTTCAAAGGACACCATTAAGAAAATGACATGAAAAGCCACAGTGTGGGAGAAAATATTAGTGTGGTAGAGAACATAGTGCCATTCACTAAATGTCCATGTCCCAATCCCTAGAAACTGTAAACAGGTAAACTTACCTGGAAAATGGAGTTTCTAGGTGGAATCAAGGTTAAAGGCATTGAGAAGGGGAAATTACCCTCTGTTATCTGGGTGGGCAAATCTAATCACAACTCCGATGGGAGAAATTCAACAACCAAGGAGAGTCAGAGATGTGCTATAAGAGGGTCCAGACCTGCCGGCAATGCTGTAGCTTTCATATGAGAGAAGAGACCAAGGACCAAGGATGTAGTGGCTTCTGGAAGCCAGGAACCCACCAGTTTACACACAGCAAGAACCTCAGGAACTTGGTCCTTTGATGCAAGGTTCTGAATTCCACCAACAACCCAAAGGACCAGGAAAGCAATCCTCCTCAAAGCTCCAGAACTGAGTGTAGCAGCCAATAGCTGGATTTTAGTCCAGTGAGACCTCTACTTCTACCTATGGAACTATAAGATAATATGACTCTGCAATTTGAAGTGCTAGATTTGTTATTAGAGCAGTAGAAAACCAATACAACTTGTACATCAAATATCTTATAAGGAACTTCTAATCAGAATATGCAAAGAACTTTTAGAACACAAATCAACAAGGCATACAACTCAATTTCTTAAAGGGGCAAAAACTTGAGCACATACATATCCCCAAGGGTATGATATGCAAGTGGTTAATAAACATGTGATAGAAGCTCACCATTGGTCTGGGGTTGTAGCTCAGGGCTAGAGTGCTTGCCTAGCACATACGAGGTACTGGGTTCAATCTTCAGCATTACATAAAAATAAATAAATAAAATGAAGGTATCAAAAAAATACCTTGTCACTCTGTGACTTGAGATTCAAGCAGAGGAAATACTGTTTCTCTGTGAGGCAGCCATTGCTACCTGCCGATCCCCACTCTTTGCCCTGTTTGCCCACCTCAATCGCCTGCCATTCACCAGTGGATCATGCTCCTAATGACCACAGATGGCCCGCTGCTCACTGCTGCCTGGAAGTCCATTGTCAGGGTACCTGCAGGTTTGGTTACATGCAGCCACCACCATTTTGGGACATCTACCAGGGCCTGGGAGTCCAGAGCCAAGGGGCCTACAGATTTGCCACCACCATATCATAGCCTAGCCATCTTAGTCAGGGACACTGTCCAGGGCCTGGAGATCTATTGTCAGGGTACCTGCAGGTTTGGTTACATGCAGCCACCACCATTTTGGGACATCTACCAGGGCCTGGGAGTCCAGAGCCAAGGGGCCTACAGATTTGCCACCACCATATCATAGCCTAGCCATCTTAGTCAGGGACACTGTCCAGGGCCTGGAGATCTATTGTCAGGGTACCTGCAGGCCTGGTTGCACCTGAGGTCTTTCTGCTGGGTGTGCTAGCAGTCACCATCTTACTGCCTCTTTGCAGGGTCTCTCCTTTAAGTGAGTGCATCCCTGGTGGTCTTTCTGCAAGTTGGAATGGTATTGAGATCTTGGGACTGCAGGAAGGCAGAGCCAGGGAATCTGAAGCCCAGGTCCATCAGATTGCAGCTGGGTCTCGTGGGCACACCTGTGGAAAGCTGAAGACTGGGGACTTTATAGTTTTTTTTTTAGATCTGTATATATTTTTCCCTCACTTATCTGTCTCCCTGTATTCTCTTTCTCACTTCTCTCATGATAACAGCCAACCTCTATTAATTCCTCCTTTGCTCTTACTATAAATTTTTACCTCTATCTTCTCTCTTTCTCCCTCATAAACATCACATCCCACACTACTTCTGTTCCCTCTTTGTCCACATCAAGGAAAGAAAATTTCGGACCAGTATCCCTGATGAACATCGGTGCAACAATTCTCAATAAAATTCTAGGAAATCACACACAAAAACATACTAAAAAGACAGTGCACCAGGATCAAGTGGGTTTCATCCCAGGGATGCAAGGTTGGTTCAACATATGGAAGTTAGTAAACGTAATTTATCACATCAATAGAGTTAAAGACAAGAATCATATAATCATCTCAATAGATGCAGAAAAAGCATTTGAGAAAATATAGCACCCTTTCATGTTCAAAACACTAGAAAAATTAGGGATAGTAGAACCATACCTCCACATTGTAAAAGCTATATATGCTAAACCCAAATCCAACATCATTCTAAATGCAGAAAAATTGAAAGCATTCTCTCTAAAGACTGGAATAAGACAAAGCCCTCTTTCACCACTTCTATTCAACATAGTCCTTAAAACTCTAACTAGAGCAATTAGAAGAAATTAAAGAGATACAAATAGGAAAAGAAGAACTCTAACTATCCCTATTTACCAACAACATGATTCTATATTTAGAAAATCCAAAAAAAAAATTCACCAGAAAACTTCTGCAACTAATAAATGAATTCAGCAAAGTAGCAGGATATAAAATCAATACTCATAAATCAAATGAATTTCTGAATATCAGTGATGAATTCACTACAAGAGAAATTAGGAAAACTGCCCCATTCACAATAGCCTCAAAAAAAAAAAAAGTACTTGGGAATCAACCTAACAAAAGAGGTGAGAGACCTCTGCAATGAAAACTGCAGAACACTAAAGACAAATTGAAGAAGACCTTAGAAAATTAAAAGATCTCCCATGTTTTGGGATAGAATTAATATTGTTAAAATGGCCATACTATCAAAAACATTATACAGATTTAATGTATTCCTATTAAAATCTCAATGATGGGACTGGGGTTGTGGCTCAGTGGCAGAGCTTGCCTAGCATGTGCGAGGCACTGGGTTCAATCCTTGGCACCACATAAAAATGAATAAATTAAATAAGGGTATATTAAAAAGTTGTATTTGTTTAAAAAAAAATCCCAATGACATTTTTCATAGAACTAGAGAAAGTAATCATGAAATTCGTTTGGAAAAATAAGAGACCCAGAATAGCCAAAGCAATCCTCAGCAAGAAGAGTGAAGCAGGAGGCATCACAATAACAGACCTTAAACTATTCCACAGAGCAATAGTAACAAAAATGGCATGGTATTGACAGCAAAATAGACATGTAGACCAATGGTACACATCAAGACAAACGGTATAGTCTTTAGAATAGAAGACACAGAGACAAACCCACATAAATACAGTTATCTCATACTAGACAAAGGCACCAAAAACATACACTGGAGAAAGGATAGCCTCTTCAACAAATGGTGCTAGTAAATCTGGAAATCCATTTGTAGCAAAATGAAATTAAACCCCTCTCACCCTGCACAAAAATCAACTCAAAGTGCATCAAAACTCTGGCACTAGAACAGAGACCCTGAGCCTAATAGAAGAAAAAGTAGGCCCAAATCTCCACCATATCATCTAAGGCACTGAATTCCTTAACAAGACTCCCAAAGTGCAAAAAGTAAACTCAAGAATCAGTAAATGGGATGGATTCAAACTAAAAAGCTTCTTCTCAACAAAGGAGACAATTAATAACATGGAGAGCCTACAGAATGGGAAAAAAAAATCTTAACCACATGCACCTCAGATAGAGCATTACTCTCCAGGATATAAAAAGAACCCAAAAAACTTAACATGAAAAAAACAAATAACCTAATCAATTGAACAGACACTTCACAGAAGAAGAAATACAATTAACCAACAAATATATGAAAAAATGTTCAACATCTCTAGCAATTAGAGAAATGCAGATCAAAACTTCTTTAAGATTTCATCTCATTCCAGTCAGAATGGCAATTATCAAGACTACAAGCAA